CTTCCTGCTCACCCTCTCCCGTCACCCTATCCCGTCCGCTTGTTGTTTGTATACAGAAGTATTTGCTGTGTGCACGTATCTGGTGCGAGTACGACAGCGAGTAAATTAAACAAAAAAATTAACCGGAAAAGTTAAAGGTATTTAATTGCTTTTGATTGTTGTTGTTTTGAGGCTGCCTAGACAATGGCACACCCGACGGCCATTCATAAAAATGCCAAACGCATGAACACAGTCGAATCGATGCGGTTCGAATTGGAATTGGAATTGGTATTGAATGGGTCAGAACAAAAGAAGAAGAAAACCGGCGGCAGGGAACGGCAGTAGAGGCCAGCTAGCCACAAGGCGAAGCGGCAAACAAATACCAAGCGAAAACAGCAATGCGACGTGTAAATATTTAGTCCCAGACACCATGTTTATATCGAACCTTCGAAACCAAAAAGAAAAAACAACACCCGAACCATTTGATAGTTTGATTTGTGCCGCAGAACCAGGCTAGAATAGGCAGCTGTTGATGAGGCCAGGGAAGGGATGGGGTGCATGGAGGGGAATCACAGAACAGACTGATTGATGTGCCTGCTGATCCGATTGTGAAAAGTCCATAAATACGAGCTGGCGACTTTGATAAATAAACAAAACCGCGTGCGACTCGGTCCCCCATGGGGGCCATTCGCATAACTCACTCCGCCAATGATCCGAAATTGATCCAATTCGTGTTGGGTCAAAGTTCAAGGCCAAACGATGGCTGTTGTGGCGTGGTGCGAGTACGAGTACGATGGCAGACGCCCGAGAAGATCCCTCGCCAGCCAGCAGACAGCTCATATTTGAACTTGAGCCACAGCATCCACACGAGGCAGCAGAAACGACAGCGACAGCGACAAACCAGTACCAGTAGTAACAACTGCATGCCACAGCACACTCACACACACGCCAGAAAAACACAGATGCGCAGGCAGGGTCCTGAATATGCATGCGTATGGGTATGGTACGGGTATGTGTGTGTCGTCAAACTGTCATCCTGCATTTCAGACGGCGTCTCATCTGGGCCAAAGGCACAGTATGTCGCACCATGGGATCGCAGCATACAATGAGTGCTTAAAATTTGTCCTGTTAGAAAAGAAAGAACGGCAAGGAAAATCTTTCTTTCAAAAGATAGTCTAGGCATGCAAAATTATATTTATTGATGAATTATCGATATGAAGAGATGACAAGATTCGTTGGCTACTGCCACCCATTGTGCATGGCTTCGGTTTACACAGCGTGGCAGTGCCACTGGACGTGGGACGTGGGATGTGGGATGTGGCTGTGAATGCAGATGTTGGTGCCGACCCTTGGACCTGGCGACAGACAGACATTTCTTCACAGACAGTTTTCACTAATTATCTGACACGTTGATGGCTGCTGGGCTGCTGGACTGCTGGGCTGTTCGGATGCCACGGTGCTCCTTCTGTTGCTGTCTTTGCTGCACTTTTCTGAGGTCGCGTACAGCCGAGAGGCAGGGAGCAGGAGCAGGCCCACAGCAGAGCTCGTTGCGGCCAAGGACTCATTTGAATGTGTGTCGTTCTTGTACACACCGATGGACAAACTCTACAAGGAAAAAAAACAACATTTCAGAACTCTAATTTCAAAGGTCGTGCCAGTGCCAAATGAGACACGGAACTGTGGAGCGGAGCAAAAAAAGGAACACTTCTCGGTTTTCAGCTTTCGGACCAGCTCTCGTTCGGTGTCATGTGCTTTAAGCCATGTGCATGTTTTATTTGCCACTCCGGCTTTTGTGTGTGTGTTCGGGTTTGGTCTGTTGTTATGTTGCTCTGCCTTTTATTTTGTGGGCCAGCATACAAACATACATACGAGCATCTGCGAAGGACAGCGGCAACAGCGAGTGGGGGCGTCAATAATTGAACAGCCCCCTTTCCCCCCTCCCAGGCCGAAAACATTGGGCATCTGTGTCGGTGTCGGTGTCGGTGTGGAAGCTGGTGTCGACCAACGGAAAGTTGATTAAATTCAAGCATTCGCCGCCCCGAATGTGCCGCTGAATTCAGTTCTCCTCTCCGCCCCTCCGCCTTTCCCCCTCTCCAGTTCCGTCTCTGACTGCAGCCCGGGGCATTTGCATTTACGATTCCATTCTTGATTTGAGCGCGGGTAATTGTACTGCGAAATTATTAACAATTATATATGTATGTACATATTTATGGGGGGAATACTGTGTGGACTGTGGCACCGTTCTGAATGTGGCATGAAAACGCGGCCTGGCCAGCGCGGCGGATGCGGAATTTTGTGCTTTATTATCACGTCTACGACATGGGTGTCCGGGATATAGCGATAACTTTGTAGCTGTTATTGCATGTCCGGAATGTTAAGTGACATAGTTCTAAATGAAGTTCAACCTTGAAACCTTATCTAAAGGATATATTTCTGCATACCATACATACATTACATATTTTCATGGTATAAATTAAACAAAAGGATGTGCCTGATAAAGTTTTAAAGCCATTAGCCAAATAGCATCCCCCCAATTACGAGACATCTGTTCTGCCTGTCATTGACACCAGGAGAAACACCACTATAAGTTTAGAGGGAAAACTACGAGGACTCGCAAAAACTACAAAATACAATCGCATAAGTTTAATGGAGAAAAAAACTGTCAACTACTTGGCTGAAAAGTTCCCCCGAACCACGCACACACACAAACACACAGAATGAGAAAAAGGCACACAGACACGAGATAACATGTTTACAGTAAGCAACAAGCAGCAGCAATAACATTAACATGCAGCTTAACAGGGTAGATAGGCCTATGTTAACAGAATTTGCGCAGCTCTCTCTCAGTCTCTCTGTTGCGCTCTCTGCCTCTGCTTCTGCACAACTGTTGAGCATTGGTTCTCTGTCGTTGCCGCCTCAGTTGACGGCAGCAGAGAAACGACAGCTGTTGCCGCTGTTAACTATTATTTACATTTGCGGCTGCGGCGGCGGCAGCAGCAACAGTTATAATTTTTGCCTGGCTTCTCTTTATGTCCTCGAATGATTTATTTTGGGATTCGCTGAGAGAGTAGCACGGCCCTGGCTGCCGGCAAGGTGTATTTAATCAAGGTGAGCGCACCTCAGTCTCTGATTAAAAATGTAAAAATATCATCGGTTAATATTCTGGGAATGCCTGCCCTTAAATAAATTTACAATACCCCTTGGACTAATGTTTATGTGAATTTATGCGTGTATGACCTTTCTCCTTCTGCTTTCTCTGCTCTTTCGCTTGTCTAGAGTTTGCTGGGGCGCCTGATGCTCTGTTCGGAGTAGAGATAAGACGCTTATGGCATCCGCTTTTCAAAAACTATTATTATTACAGGAATTTGCTCTGTCAACAAACACACACCACTCTTGTCTTCAGTTTCAATCGGTCCAGATTGCTCTCTGGCTAGAAAATGGCTTACAGCTTAAAGCTGTAAATTGGCTAAACCTCAGAATGGGATCAACTATGAATATTAGATTTCCGCTCGTGTATTTCTCTCTGTGTTCGTTCTGTGTGCAGATGTGCGTGTGAGGAGGGTCGGACTGGAGGAGTCCTTCGGAGGATGGGCCTGCGGCTGGAACTTGGGCCGTTAATACTGTTAACTGAAATTTATGCAAAACTGGCGACTTCAAAAGTTTTTACATTATTCAGCCATATCATTTAATTAGCCCGTGCCACATGGTATTTAGAGGGGCGACACGCCACGAGGCCCCGCCTTGGACATGTTCTTTGCTATTTTTATTTGTTCATATTTTCCATTTAATCATCTCTCTCCTTTGCTGTTGTTGATGGCAGCACCGGCACCCATTGTCACGACCCTTTTGTGTGTCATTTGCATGAAATTCATGAACATGACTGCGCCTGCAACAACGGGCACGACAACGACAACGACAACGTTTACGGCACACCACGCAATGGCGACTACAACGGCTGTGACTATGAACTGCGGAAATGAAAACAATATCCATTTCCATTGTAGGTTTTTATTCGGAATCTACGTAGATATATGTATGTATGGAGGTACTATATATCGCGTATGAAGAGCCGTAGAAAGCGCAATGGAGGCCATAAGGGAGACCGCGACCTGTCGCCGGCACACGTTCTCCCTAGGCCCTCAGCACCAGAATACACAGACACAGACAAACACACACACACTGGGAGAGTGGTGGTAGTAAGCCCAGTTTCAGCTTCGGCTTCGTTATTGATACTACCACTGCCCCCCGCTGGCAGTCCGACCCCTTTTTCGCTCAGTGATGCCCGTTTAGCTTTCGCTTTACTCTCAGAAATTTAAATTTACTTAAATTCATCTCTTTGTATCGCTTTGATTTGTGTTTGGTGAATATTTAGTGCCTGCTCGATAGCCATTTGATTCAAGTTTGAAGGATAGTGAATTTCGAAGTAGTTTCAGACATGACTACATGATATGTAAAAAAAAAAGGAAAATCTTATGTTAAGAATCAGATAAAAAGTAATTTAAAACACGTTTAGATCTCATGGGGAAGAATTTCAATGCCTTAAATATGAATTTTCCAGCAAAAATCTGCTGGAAAAATGCCAAGAAAAGTCGGACAGCACTGAGGCACGGCACTCAACGGAGAATGGCTTTTATGCGTACATATTGTATGACTGTGTGTGCGGGGGAGTGCTTCTGCCTCCCTCTATGTGTGTGCGTGGGCGAGGGGTGTGCGTGCAACAAGTAGAAATCTGTTACACTCATGAATAATGGAGGCAGGCGCGAGCCCGAACCAGGAGCCAGAGACAGAACCAGAGACAGAGAAGTGAGCATAAACTATTGGCAAACTTTTCTCGCCCCTCGCCTCGTCGGTTGCGCCAGTTGTGCGGCCTTGACTATTGATGGGATGGAAGGTGGCTGTGGAAGAGTGGCATGGGATGGTATGGGATGGTATGGGATGGGTATTGGATGGGTATTGGATGGGATGATTGTCTATTGAGTCGTTGAATTGGTGAATCTAATATCTTGTTGCCGTTGTTGCAGGTTCCAGGTGCCGTGTTGCAGCCGCTGCCGGTAAGCGCCACTTGTGAAGCCATCGTGACACACAAAAGGACTGCTCCATTGAAAAGGCAATTGACGAAAAAAAATACGAAAAAAGCAAGAGGTAAACTGCCATAGATAGAAGGGAAACACTGGAACACGAGGAGGAGATGCGACGCTGCCGACGGTGACAGTGGCGCCACACCTGGACACCATCTAGACACCATTCCTCAGCTAGATGACGGGCAGCAGCAGGAGCAGTCAAAGGCACGGCTCGAGGACAAACCGATCAACGTGTCAACGAGAACGTCAACGTCAACGCGTCGAGGAGGATGCAAATTGTCGCAAACAAGTGCCACAGCTACAGCGACGACACCAGCAGCAGCAGCCAGAGAGAGCGCCAACCCATTGAGGAGACGGAGACCCAACGCAGGGGCGCCCACCCCCACCCGCAACATGGCGGACGCGGAGGATAGCAACAGTGGGGCGAGTGGGAAGGGGGGACAGGAGTCGATGCGTCTCCTAACAAAAATAGACAAGGCAGTCTCCACCAACGACATCCTGCTGGACCTGCAGCGCGCCCTCACCTATGAGGCGGTGTTCAGCACTTTGGTGGAGCACAAGATGCAGGCCCTGAAGCGCGACTACGAGGAGCACAAGAGGGCCAAGCGGGCTAAGAAACGGAAGTCCATTGGCCGCATCTTTCTGCCCCGCAAGCTCTTCGGTGGCGGTCGCCGTGGCAGCCGGGAAGAGGACTCAGCCGCAGCGCCCGCGGAGGAGCCACAAACGCCATCTGCCAAAACCATAGCCAAGGCAAAAACAAAACCCAAGGGCAGGGGCAAGGCTCAGGATGACATCGAAGTGGCTTCGGGTTCGGTGGACGCCTCGCTGTGCTTCCACGGGAAGAGCGCAGAACCGCTGGAGGATAGCCTGGCCAGCAACTCGCTGAGCAACTCGTCGGGCCCGGGGCCGGGCCGCCAAGCCATACACAGCCACAGCCTCCTGGTCCACGCCCAGACCCATACCCCGGCCAAGACGGACCTGCCACGACGATCCGGCAGTTCAGAGGAGGAAAACGACGAGGAGGATAGGGTACGCCCGGCCCCCCCGGCCAAACATTCCACAACGACGACCAACGGCGAGTCGACCTCGACGACTGCCACAGCAACTGCCACGGTGATAACTGCGGAGCGCGGTGGCGTCCTGCACAGCTCAACACTGGCGGACGACAGTCTGACCGCCTCGTTGCGCGGCAGCATTGAGAGCCTCTCCTACTCCAGCTCCCGCTGCACCGTCAGCTTTGGGGGCGCGGAGATCATCGCCGTTGCCGGCCTCGATGCGGACACACGGGAGCGGGTGCGACTGGCCAAGCGACTGCGCATCCTGGAGGCCAAGTCGATCAGTGCCCAGTGCAGTCCCATCTTTCCGAGGCACGTGGTGCGCTCGTTCCCGCTACAAGCACCCCAGCAAGCGGTGAGTAATGGTCCACATGTTGCTGCTTCTCCTCTCCCATCTCTGGTATCCGTTCTGAATTCACAGCGCCTGCACATCAATGTTCCCTCCAGTCTGGCCAAGCAGCCTTCGCCGCCACCTCCACCGCCGCATGTGGCCGTGGAGATTGAGACGCCTTCCGCAGCTGCTGCCGCTCCGACTCCTGTTTTGCTGCCACAACGCAAGCGACTGCTGCGCAAGCAAATCTCCTGCACGGATAGCGCCGGCATGGGCGGTGGAGCCAGCGAATTCGAGGGGGCGGCCTACTCGCGCTACTTTTCCCGCCAAAACACCTCGGAGGACAGCGCCAACGTGACCGTGAGCACGGTGCTGGCCCAGAGCGATTCGCAGTCCCTGCACGCCACGCCCAGCTACGCGAACACGCCCACGTCTACGGCCGGAAGGGAACAGGAGCGCCTCAAGTCGCGCAGCACCGGACTGCTGGCCGTTCGCCCACCAGCCATGGGGCTCGACACAGACGCAGTGATCATTCCCATTGAGAACGAGGGGGAGAACAGAGGGGCCAAGGCAGGACCTGCACCGGCTCTGGCCCAGGAGAGGCTGAACCGGATGACCTCCACCTCCACGGGCTCCAGTGTGGCACCCACGGGATGCTGCAGTGCGGCCAAGACGGCGGCATCGCGGGCAAAAGAGAAGCCCAGAGAAGGCCAGAGTCAGAACCACGGCTATGGTCAAGGACAGGGACAGAGGCAGGGATTCAAACCCACGCTGCCATCCTCCGCTGCGACCGCGTCTGCGATGGCGGCTCAGAGCACTGGCAGCGACGACGAATACCGACGACGGAAGCGGAAGTACAGTAAGTGGCAAAGAGCACTTCACTCCCGAAAAGGTTCTTCAATCATTCACCATTCCTCTCTGCTCCTTTGCCCCTCTTAGAGCGCCATCATCGCTGCTCGGATCCTGCACTGGTGTACCCCACGCCCAGTGGTCTCCAGCAATATGTGCACGTCCTCGGCCTCACCCCAGGCTCACAGGCCATGTAAGTTCATGGCGCGCACTAAAGGGAATCGAGTCTCTGTTCCGTTCCGCCTGCTAATGTCATTTATTATCCTCCGCAGACAATGCCCGTACGGTGAGGACTCGCCGTGCGACCTGCAGCTGGACATGGAGTTGGATCTGGACACAGATGCTGATAAAATCGACGACCTTGAACAGATGGTCCCCGGCGGTCATCAGCGGCATCGACGCAAGCATCGGTGAGTCCATGGGGTCCTGTTTGTCCGTCCGGCCGTACCACTTGCCAGTCCAGCTCGGAAATCTCTTTGATTACTCTCCCTCTTTGCCACCCCCTCCTTCTCTCTGGTTAGTCTTTAAATCCTTTCAAGACCCAGGACAAAGAGCTGGCGTCCTTGACAGCCCAAGCTGTCCCACACTCGTACCACCTGCTGCCCCTTCGCATTGCCAATCAGCTTGATTTGAGAAATGATCTGAGAGCATATAAATAATTGTCCCCTTTTTGGGGGACAGGTGCAACAACAACAAATGGCCGATGCCGATGTCCTTGATCTGCACTAATAAATGTCCTGCCGATTGGCCATTGGCCAAATATGCCCCGTAATGTGGCAGCTTCCCTTGGGAGAAAGGGCGGGAGGTAGCTTCGCCCCCGTCCGCGTGATACTGAGCAGGCAAAAATTGATTGACAAGCTTTTGTGCGAACAGTTAAAGGACAGCCGTGCCATGCATGGGCATGGGAATGGGCAAGTGGGTGGGACAATGGCATTGACTGCCAACCCAACTTACAGCCTGCCACCGCCTGCCGCCAGATGTTATTTCTGCTGCTGCCGCTGCTGCTGCTGCTTCGCTTGTTCTCTTTTTCTGTTGCTCCATTGCCAGGAGGCAACTTCCGTTGCAAAAATCCAGCAATGGTTGTCGGCATGTTGTTCGTCGTTATGGGAAGGTGCTGAAGGGGGGAGGAGGAGGGATGGGGGCTGGCTTGGGTTGGGGCAGGTAGAGGGGAAATTGCGGCAGCTTTGTAATGCGGAAGTTTTGCAAAACCCAAACGGAAATAGAGCAAATATGTTTAAGCTTCTGTTGCACATACTCGCATGTGTATGCGTGTGTGTGTGTGTGTGTGGATAAACCGGAGCAGGGATGATTGAGGGTAGCAGGAGGAGGATGTTAACGTGAACTGATTAATTTGAAAATTCTACCCGAAATAACCATTAAGTGATATCTGTTTCTGAGAAAGCTTTTTAAAGCTACCAGTTTTAGTAAACGAATGATTAACCAATACCTACTGTACTTTCAATCACAGGCATCGCCACAAAAAGCGTCATCGGCACAAAAAACCCAAAATACTTGTACAGGACTTGGACACGGAGGTTATTAAGGTAAATGGTAACTGATCTTAATTAAAACAGATGCTAAAGATGGTTTATTTGGTTCAGGTGATTGATCCACACGATTTGTCGAAGCGCGCACGATGGACAATCATTGCCACCGCCTGTTTGCTTTTGCTCATGTGCCTCATGCTGATTGGGGTCACGCTGCGCATGGCGCCGATCATCGATGATATGGGTAAGTGGAAGAACTAGATGACGAACCCAACCCGTAAAGTGTTGCTTAATACTGCCATGTGAATCCCCCTTGAAGACTTTATATTATATTTATACATATATCCCTGCTTGCCGCAATCAATCCCCATTTCTAAGTAGAAACTAAGTAAATGCGATTCTAATGGAACAAGTTACAGTACAATACAATATATAGATACCTTCTTTTGAAGCGCGCATCGTTATTATCCTTGAAACTCGACGCAGAACACGGCATTGTAAATATACATACCTACTTTACTGCTATACTATATAATCGTACTGGTATTCGTATTCGTACATGCATACAAAGACACAGACATACACATACACATACAGATACATAGATATATCCAATATTCGATATTCCTTCCATGCGATACGATCACATATCTAATGCCGTGTGTATTGTATTTTGTTTCGTTATATTTCAAATATAGAATACAAAACGAAATGTAAGTACAAGCACAAACAACAAATCTACCAAAAACCACAACAAAAAGTATTTTACAAAAAACAACGTAGTTTTCTAGATGTAATCCTGAAATCCTGCGACAAAATCTGCAGAATGTTTCGATTCGTAAGGGTTCGTAAGGGTCCCCTCCTATAGGGACTTCTATGTAAAAGCTTTCGAATGTTAATAAAGCTCTCTGCGAAAAGCTGATTTAGTTTTGTAAGCTTCTGTTATACTGTTATATTAAGCACACTGGCCCTGAGCTTTTCAGCTTGCTGGGCTTTTGAGGGCAGCTTTCACTCAAACGCAATCAGGCCTCCTGCCCTCCACCTCTGCGAGCCATTGCCTGCATTTATGTGTGCCATTGTGTTGCATAACAACACAGTAACGGATGCGGAACTAGGACACATGTATCACATGTTGCATCTCACACAAAAACCAATACCAACAGCCACACCAACACCGATACGATACAAACACAGAGACTACTACTATTTTCTGTGGCAGCTTAATATGATAGCCCATTCGATGTGTTTGCTCGATAATTTTGGTTGCGTGGCGAGTGGATTTAAATGCCCCTCCCCAATTATCAACCATCAATCATGCATTTCCCCCCAACTCTCTGTACCTTCATTAAGAGCTGGCGTGAAAATTAATTAGACGTTGATTAGAGCTGGTAGCCGCAACCGCCCCCCGTTCTCTAACCCTTTGCTGAGAACACACCCACATGAGACTGGGCGCCCACTGATTCAGGTCCACGTCAGCTAGCTGCTAGCAGAGGGAAACTTTTGTCGGAAAGGTGTAGTTAAACGTCAACACGCAGCAGCTGCGACTGCTCCCAAGACCAGGTCCTGCCGCTGCCAGATGGATGCCAGAGAGTGCTCCCTTTTCCAAGGCGACGCACTTAATCGGCAGCCCCACTCTGGCTGCAGCACAATGGGGTCCACGTTCACCGCCACAGCGTGACAATGGCTGGTTAAAACTAATTTGCGTGTTGGCTATGGCAGGCCGCGCGCCGCATGTCGCACTGTGGGCCCAAAAGCGCGAAAATACCAGCAAAATGGTAGGGAAACCCAAGAGGTACAGCTGCTGAACGACTCTGATGGAACCTTGACCTTGAGATCACGCAAGAGGGACCAAGCAGGGCGGAAACGGAACTTAAGAAAGGAAGACTTTGCCCCACAGAAACCCCTGCCATATTGTTTTTAGCCAGAATTGTAATTTAAGTTAACAAATATAAGCCGATTATTTCCTGGTACTGTCTGTTAAGATAATTACCTTCGCTTGCTATGGTTTTGCAGCACTGCAAAGCGGATTGATTGAACATGTCCGTCCGATGTTCAATGAAGATTTCTCTTCCTGGAATTCCAATTCCGTGAAGATTCGAGTTTCAACACTTCCCACCCATAGTTGGCTCTGAGTTGGCGTCCCGCCCCCTACAACAATGAATGCACGAGCGCGCTCGCATTCTTCGAAAAATGGCGGCCAGGCGAGGTTTCCGGTTCCTGTTCCTGCTGTACTTCTTCTGCTCCTGCTGGTACCCCGTTCTTAGGCGAGTACATTCATGGTGTGCGCAACATGGAAAATGTGAAATGCAGCTATGAATTTCTTGAGCTAAATCTGCGGCAATGACAAAGCAGCTCCGAGTTACATCCCCGCCCGGTGGGGCGGAGGTTCTGATGACGTCGACGGGCCGCTCAGAAAACTTTTTCCACTATGCACGCAATTTCCTTAGTTTGTTGCTGTTGTTCTGTGGCAGATGTTGCTGTTGTTGCAGTAGAGTCCTGCTGCCGTGCCCGTGCCCGTGCCCGCGGCACTCGCGCTCTGTAGCGTTGTCATTTTTTGGGTTCGCCTGTGTGGCTGGGCTGTTGTTTCATTACTTTGCCGCAAAAAACAAATGCGCATAGTTGCCGTCAGTTATTATCCACTTGCAGCTACACTTTGAGGCTGCCTCGCTGCTCCTGCTGTCATCAGGCGGAGGGAATACCATCCCGAAGAGGAACAATGTGCCCCCTGTATTCCTCAGAGCCAGCAAGTACAGACTTCCCCTCCATTCCGCTACCCTATTTTTGCCCGTGCTTAATCAACACGCCGTCGTCAACGATGTTACTGCGGACCACAAAAGGCATTCCAATTGCCCATGCCCCATGCCCATGGCCAGACCCTTCTCATCCTCCAGCTCATCTCCATTGCTGAGCCGCAAGTATTTCAGGGACCAAATTATTATCATAGCTTTAGCTTAAAAGCTGAAAATGCCGCTGGCCCTCTGGCGCTGGCAAAGAATTAAAAATATTTACAGTATTTTCCAAGTGAGCCACACGGTTCAGCTGAAAAGAAAAGGGCAGGAAAGGAAAGGAAAACTTGGACGAGCCAAGAGACAAAGGAAATGTCCTCTTTCTATGCGCGCGTGTGTGTGTGTGTACCATCTCTGTGTGTGCGTGTGTTGTTAACCACAATTTGAAAAAATGCAAAGCATTCCAAACAAATATGATAAAACATATTTGCACGCAGCCAGAGACAGAGCCATAGCCCAGCACCAGAGTGAGAGTCAGAGCCAGAGCCAGAGCCAGATCCACAGATAGACAGATGGAGGAGTATTGGGATGGGATAAGGAAGAGGGGTAGCAGGACATCATCCATGGCATACGAAACAAGAACTTTGTCATCCTCATTTTCCTTCTCAATTTGCGCAGCAACCAAAAACAAATATCGACAGCTCTACAAAGGCTTATGCCCTGCCCAAGGATTAAGTCCCTCTGAACTTTCCATGATTAATGATGCTTTGAAAAGTTCTTCCCTTCCCCTTACCCTCCTGTGCTTTTATCACCGAACTCTGGATGGTGGAGTGCGGACTCTGCTGTGGAAAAATGTGTGTATTTGCATTAGTCAACTGTCGGCTGTCGGATGTCGGTAGTCGGCAATCATCACATCATTCCAAAGCGATTTCCATAGTGTGCCTGTAATCCTCGAGTGATTGCCTCGAATGGGTCGCGTTCTGGCTCCTGAATAGTTGATTTAATCAAACTCGAGCTGCACTCAGGGGCATTCAGCGAGCATTTAGAGCAATGCACTTTTAAATAGTCACCTCTGCCCCTGCCCCTGCCCCTGCCTCTGCCTCTGCCTCCAACTTTTGCCGCATGCCGCCTACTGCCTGCTGGTCCTTGACTTTCGTTTCGGCTTTCAGAGCCGCGGCAAACTTGACTTAATTGCAGAGAGAGCCCAGTGGAAAAGCCAATGGGAAAAGGGCAACACCAGGCTGATTTTGGCAAAGTGCCTGACTGGGCATGGCCGAAATTAAATTGGCCATGTTTAAGCAGCAAATTTGGCCAGATATAGACAGGCTTTTATAATCACTTAAGGGCTTTGCTCTCCAGCAAACAAAGGCCATTGGAGGAGCATCTAAGGAAAGGTGCTCTAGGCAACACCCTGCCCAGCAATCTGACCCAAGCCCGACCATGTCCATCGGTGTGAAACCATAATGAGATGAATGCGGCACGGAAGAACTTGCGCAAATATTTGGCAATTATTCAGTTTCGGTTTCGGGAGGAGCTCCACTCTGAATTCAGAGCAGACCAGAACCACGTTCCGAGGACTCCACACCGGCATTATTATAATGAATGAACATTGCAGCAAATTAGTCAAAAACAAAAACAAAAAGTTGCTGGTGCGAGATGACAGTGCTGGGAAAATCATCAGAGACGACACCCAAACTATGATGGAGACGAAAAGAACATGAGAATTCCCATTGAAATGTCCAAGGAATTTCTATGATATTTCAACGATGTCTAAATCTCTTTCTGCTTCCAACTTTATGCCCAACAAGGCTAAGGATCTTTCCCTTTCTAAGGATTAGAGTCTCGTTCACAATCCAAGTATTGCCAGGCTGTTGCTATCCTCCGTGTAGGGTATCTCCAAACGCCATGTAGCACATCCACGCAGGCTCTGTTGTGGGTGCGACCCATGGATGGGGGCTAGAGGTGGAGATGGAGGTGTAGGCGGTTGTCATAGAAAGTTGAGTGGGCATTGGGCGTGTCAAAAGACAAACGCGAAAAGTGCTCTGCGGGTTTCTCCCATCCTTGTCTTGTCCGAATACGAGGGTCTTTTAAATACTCATTACAGAATGAATTCGGGAAAAAGTTTTGATAAAAATCGTATTATGAACATAAATAAAATAGGCTGGGGAGGCACGGGTGGGGGCGGTGTTGGTGAGGCAGCAAAACACAGGGGAGATCATAAAAGACCAAGCGGGACCCAACGTTGACTGAACAAACATTCATGAGTAACCAAACTTGAAACGAGAGCGTTGCCGTGGCCGTTGCCAGGGCTATGATGGGACGCAGACGGTGGGGCATGGCAGGAAGATCTGGCGCTAGTGGCAAGTGGATGGTACGAGTAGTGGCAAAGTCAAAGTCAAACAATGAGGCAGCCAGCTGTGAAAGGACGAGCCGAAACTTCATTAGTGCTCATCCACAATGTATGCTGGTGGCGTTGGGCAAGGACTACCACTACCAGTGGCTCTCGGTTTTGGTCCTGGCTTTCTTTCTGGTCTTACACTTGCTCTTGCCCCTGGCGCGCACAACACACACACACACACACACACACATCCTTTCATTCTTCCTTCCCTCCGCTCACAATGGACTTTTTATAGCTTCACGCTCGACGGTTTTTGAGCGTTTTGCCATTCGCCTGCGGTTTATTCTGTGGCTCGACATGAGGCTCCCAGACTCCGACCGGGCCATAGCCATATTCAATATTCATATTTCGCCCAAACGGGAATATTTATTACCTCAACAGACTCACTCACTCACTCACACACTCACCCACTCACCCACGTGTGGCACGAACTTTTCACATGTACCTATGTATGTACTTGTACGAGTCTTTTCCCCTGTGCGGAGGGAAGGGCATGCCCTTTGTTGCCGCCTTCCTCGAACTAGAAATTCCTTGTGGCCCTTGTGCTTGTTTCTGTTTGGCTAACCGTTGGCAGAATTTAATCTCAAACTGAAACTGAAGACATTTTGCCAGTCAACGCTGGAAAAAGCTAAGCGAAATTGCTTTGCCTGCCCATGCCCGTCCCCATGCCCGTGGCCCCAAGGTGATTTGCATAGCCCACACGGGTGGGGGGTGCGCGATGGGTGCAGTTCGCATTTTACCGGCTCCGGGGATCGAGCCGGCAACTGTCAGTCCGTGGAGAGGGCTGGGCAGGGGCAGGGGATGCGCGACTGCTGGTGGCACACACTCAAATTAAAAGACCGCATAAAACCCACAGAATCGAGCCTTAATAATAAATAGTTTGCTCTCCCAAAGACAAACTTAATAAAAGAGTAATAACGTATTCAGGGGTTAACTTCTTACGACCTTTGAATCAGATTATATTATAATTCTGCTGTGCCCAAGTGTTTGCTGAAATAATTGCTCTGAACCTTAAATGCAATATTCGAAAATTCGAATAGCCCATCGGAGCTGATATTTAATCTCCAAGGCGAAACAAATGCACTTGGAAATGCAATTTAATTTCGCTTCACTCTCTGTTTATAATTTATTTAATACCTGTTTAATGACACGACACACACGCCACCCAGAAATGTACATCAGATGCGAGAGCTGGTTGACAAATTGCACAGCATTTAATTGTCGAATTATATATTCGTTTTGTTTGATCGTCAATCGCGTACCCTCGTATGTGAACCCATAGTCCCAGAGACGATAAGAATCTATAGCTGGGGGCCTGCCAGTCATGGGCGAGTATAAAGAGTGCCCGCCAGTGTGTGTCTCGCTTCAGTTTCAAATTCAAATCCGAAAATGAAGCAGTTCGCATTGTTTGGCATACTTTTGCTCATCCTGGCCCTGGGACTGGTAAGAGTTGAATTTTGAGAGGCCAGAAGGCTCACACCGCAAATGTCCTTTCCCCGCCTTTCCTTTCCCTTCCAGTCTGAGTGGCCCCAGCAGGTGTCTGCCGTGGCCCTGGCCCAGCCCCAGAAGGGCCCGAAAGCCCCTCCGAGTGGTGGAAGCGGCAATCAGCAAAGTGGACAAGGCCAAAACGGTCAAAACGGTCAAAACGGGCAAAACGGGCAAAGTGGTCAAAACAATAAGTAGACTGTGAATGCTGTAGTTTGAAAGGATATCAATCTACTGTAATGCATTGCTTTTGTTCGATTTAATAAATATTTTCACCTGCGAAAATACAGCTTGCCAATGGTTTTCGAATATACTCGAAAAATATTGTATGGGCTCCAAGGTATTACCTCTCCCAAGTAGCAATTCAGTTTTCATTCAACAGAGATCCTTCATATGTCTTTCAGGTATATCGTGCACCATTTACTTCCATGCCACAAACATTTTCATTCAATTCGATTCAAACCATTACATTTTTTAATAATTTTACCCAACTGAGGAAAATAGCACCATCCATAGGAAAGGTTTCGGTTTCGGAAAACCAAAACTACGTTTCCCTGTGTATCTAAATTATTTGAAAACATAAGTGGAAGCCTAAAACACAAAACTTTTCAAAGTTTTGGATTTATGTTTTTTTTTTTTTTTTTCTGTTTTTTGTTGCTCAAAAAGGTTTTGTGTTTCCGCTCTGTCTGGGTCGAAAACTTTATTAATAAAGTGCATAAATTGTGAGCATCAGACTCGTATAATACAAAACATGTCCAACAAAAGAGGTCGGAGGGGAGGGAATGATTTGGCGGCCTTAGCGTGTTAAAGGGGGTGGCAGCGACTTCTTCAGCGACTTGGGTACTTCGTTCTGAGAACGGCAAGTGCTTATTACCAAAGAAGTTCCGCCTGCAGGCATTGCATAATTGCATTATGCGAGATAACCCCCCTCCCACTCCCCTCTCCGCCCAATGCCCCCACTAAGCTGCACTCTCTCTCTCTCTCTCTTCCCCTGTTCTTTTGCAACTGCGAGGCAGCCATGTGTGAATGCACCTCCGAGAATAACCGAAAAACTTTGCTATCGCTATCAGTCGTAGCATAAGAGAGCTAGAGCCTGGGGGTTGGGGGTGGGGGTGGCAGGTAGGGAAAGATGGAGATGGGAAAAACAAACACAGCCTTCAATTACCAAATGCTGATGAAAAGCTACAGCTAAGCTCAAAAGAAAAGCAAGGAAAAGCCAGGTGTACGAGTATTCCCATTGTTCGATGGTAGAGTAATACATATCCCGCTCATGCATAATTTCCGTTGCGAAGGATATCCAGCGTTCTCGAACGAGGCCGCTGCGACAGAGCCTTCATCATCATCATCGGCCATAAGCTGGGGGACCGCGTAGGGGCATCGCGTAGGGCGTAGGCAAGCAAAACAAACCGAAATTGAGGAGAGCTTTCACTCGGTCTCAATGCCAGCGTGCAACACGTGACGACACACCACGCGAACTGAGTTCCACTCAAAGCCTTGGGAGCCAACAGCAGCCAAGGATGCGTCCAACATGTTGCTTCCCTTGCGGATGATGCTGCTGCTGTCGCTCTGCTTCTGCCACTGCCACTGCTGCTGCTGCTGCTGCTGCTGCTGCTGGCTCTGTCTCGTGACTTGCGCGAACGAGTGAAACGAGCACGAGACCAAGCCCAAGCCCCCGCCGATGCTTGGCGAAAGCCGAACGAGTGCCAAGGACTTCGGGGGCAACAAAAGCAACAGCAACAGCAACAGAACGAGCGCCACGAGCTGATAAAGCAGCGGCCTCCGGTTGGCTTCAGCCCCAGCCGGAGCTTCGCTTCTCCGGCGGACGCGTCCGTGCCTCGGTCAGTTGAACATTTTCCATGCTGTGATCAAGTTGTCTTTTCCTCTGAGCGCCAAGCGCCGTGCACGCCTTGGACTTGGAACTATATCGGGAAATCGGGAAAACGGGATTGAACGAATTTCAACAGAATCCAACAGTAGCTAAAAGTTTAGTGTGTGTTTGAGTGGGTGTATGCGGGTGTGTGCGGGTGTGTGCGGGTGTGTGCGGGTGTGTGCGGGTGTCCCGTTGTCCGTGTGGCAAGTCTAATGGACAGCAAAATTGTCGCAACAAAGGCGTGGCAGTTAGGTAGAGGGTGCGGTCTGGTCTGGTCTGGTCTGGTCTGTCTTCCACATGCACTTGTTGTGCGTCCTGTACTTGCAGTGGCAGCAACTGCAGCAGCAGTACCACTAACAGCAAGAGAGGCAGCATTCGTCTGCCAGTTGCTGCCACAGATGGGTGCAAAGTTCCGCTTTCCGCTTGCCACTTGCCCAGTGCCACTTTCGTTACTTAATTGGTTTTCAATGTTCGGTGCGTGTGATTAAAAGTGCTTTGTTCATTATTCAATATCCAAATTACAGCAGAATCCCCGCAAAAACTATGAAATAAATAAATTATAGAATACCACAAAAACAAACAAAAAAAATTGTGAAACGACGGACTGACTTACATGCATTTTATTAGTAAATAAAAAAAACCAACAAACCGAAAATCAATACAATTGAAAAACACCAAGAAGCACCGAAAAAATAGAGGCCTCCACAAACATTTTCGCAACTCAAATGAAAAATAAACGAGAACAAAACGGTTTCGCCTCCCGCCAGCACAAAAAAAAAACAGAACAGAAGTGGAGATGAATAATAAAATACAACAAAAATAATCCAACAAAAGAAATTAAAATGAAAATGAAAATTAGAGCGGAAATCCAATGGGGCAGGAATAATTAAAACAGAGAACAGAAACCAGAAACAGAGACCAGAGCAGCGCAACAATTTCCTACCGCAAATCGAATCAGTCGTTATCAGATAACTGTAAACCGAACTAAAGCCAATCGAAATCCAATCGCAAATTCAATTACCAAAAAACAGAGGAGCAAAAAGAGGAAGAGATCGCCCCGCAGCCCCCCTAAAAAGGAGGGAGAAATGAAGTCAACGAAGGCAACCCCTAAGCCCGCCATGGAGCCGAAAATTGTAATGTACCCAAAACGAAAACCAATGAAGAGCACAACTCAACTCAACACAACACAACAAAATAATTGAATCCATATTAAACATTTTAAGACCACACACACTCCTGCACAGACACATGGGAAAACCCAAACTCATGCGACATTGCAACAAGAAAATACAAGAAAATACAAAAAAATAGCCCAATCATTCCCATTTCCCAGTCCCAGTCTTAGTCTCAGCTTCAGTCGCCGAGTTTCCCATTACCATTTTCCTCCGAAGAGCACCAGAGGAGAACCGTATTGAAGAAAAGTCATTTTTCAAAATATTCATTGCTTTCATTCTGCTTTCTTTATTGTCCTGCGTTTCGCTTCTAAACAATTTGACAATGTCTGACTTCACCCCCTCGCCCCCCCACCCGAAAACGCACAATGTCATTTGTAATTTCCATATCATCAGCATTCAGATAAAGCACTCTACATCGGCGTGGACCCTATATACCGTATGTATATCTATTTACCTATTATATGTACTACACGAACTTCCCTTTGTTTTTATGCCACTCTCTACGTATTTGTTCTATCATTGCTGTGCATCTCTTGACGACGCCAAAGAAGCATCGAACTGAGTCGAGTCCGTGTCAAGACCCAGTCTGTCAATTATAAACTTCAAATCAAATTATATATGTACATATCTGCTGTTACACATAATCTGCTTAGGCAGGGGGGAAACGCACTTTACACATTGGTAATTTTTAATGGCTTTAAATTAATGGCTCGAAATAGTCGCGCTCTCATTCCAAATGAGCTATTAATTAATTCTGCATAAAGTAATTGCAATTTGAGGTAGCCTGCGGCGGTAGCGAAAATTCGAATTTGTGAAAATGATGTGGTAATTATTTTTAGTGTCATTTATCACTGGGACATCACTGGGGAATGCCCTTGGGGTTTGGGGAAATTATTGACTTGAAATTCATCTGAAATGTTTGGCTGCTCGTTAAAAGTTCTCGGATCCGAACAAACCAATGCATTCTTCTATCATTAGTATGCTGAATTTATTTCTGAGTTTCCCCTGAATTTTCCAACCATTTATATGCATTTTCTACAATTAGTTTGAAGTTTATTTCGAACTTTTTCGGAAACAAGTGAACAGTAGGGAAATCTGAAGAGTGTTCTCAGTAATTTGTTCGCTTAAATTTCGTTGGATGCGACTTTTGGGATATGTAAAGTACTCCAACTGATTGTTATCTTAGGTATTTGCCTTACAAAAACCCGATCAAAATGGCAGCAAATGAAGCCAAAGCTACAGCCAAAGTCGATGCCACGTCCTCTGCCTTCCCCGTCCATAAGTATGCCATATAATTTGCATAAGTGCTTGTCATGCATGTGGCATCCATGGATGTGGTCGCCTCAAGGGACTGCGCGTCTGCGACTGTAAGGGAGACTCCGTGGTCTGGTCTGGTCTGGTCTGGAGACCACTGCATGCTGTGGTTCAAGTGGGTCACACGAAGTGCCATAAAAATGGGTAGAACCAGGGACACGGACACACTCGTAAATCAGAAGAGCAGAGAGGGCCAGAGGGATAGCTAACCAATAGAGTTAACCATTTTGTGGGTGGTCGCGGGTGAGTGGAGGAAAAACAAGTCAATTTGGAAGCTGGCCAAATCGCTAGCAATTATGTGGCGAAAGCACACAAAACACTCGTTCCAAATGAGTAATATCCAAATCTGTTTATTCCGTGTCACGTCATAACGATGGACCACAGACCCGAATGCGCGCCATTCCATTCGAAATGCAGTTTCGGTGGCTTACCTAACCTCCAATTAAAATGGCTTAAAGTGCATAAACAAGCCATGGCCGAGTTTAAACCTAATGATAGCTTTTTAATTAGTAGTACGGTCCACGCCCACACCCACACCCGACTGCCAAAGTTGTTGCCAAAGTGTTGTGGAGTTACGAGGGCTTTGGCTTAGTTTTATTCCTGTTTCAGTCGCTGTTTTAGTGGCAGTCACGTTTCATTGTTTGCCTACCCCTCCGTGTTAGTTTGTGCGTGTGTGTGTGTGTGTATGGCAGTGTATTAATTAATGCATAGAAATGTTTATTTAAGCATATTTTAAAAATTAATTAATGTAATTTCTATTAAAACTCGTTTACTGCCAGCCAGCCAGCCAGCCAGCCAGCCATCTTCTCTTTGTGCTCTCTGCTTTAACCTCTTAAACAGCCACACAATTTTAATTAGAAAAGTTTGAGGCCAGACCACGCCTATACGCCCATACGCCTATCCGTCCTGTATGCTTACCCGAAAAATATTCTACACCCACATTGGGCTCCTCCACCTTTAGCGGGACACTTTTCGTTGCCTACTTTTTAGGGCTCGGGCCTCAGGTGCAAAAATCGTGACTGCTTTGAATTTCAATTAGTAATTGCATAAATGTTTGCCAACTATCCAACTGCCCCGGAGCGGGAGCGTGAGCGGGAGTGATGTCTGGCACGCTGTCCCTACAAGATCTTTTTGTTCGATTATTAGGCATACACCCTGCGGGGCAGCTGCGAAATCGCTGACCAAACATTCCACCCACAGAAGCGAGTGCAGCAGCCAGCAGCTGTAGGACTGGCAGCACTTTTTTCGTGTTTCTGTGGTGACCCCGCAGACCGCCCTCTGTCACGCCCACGCCCACGCCCGCGCCCGCGCCCGCATCCACACCCACGATGGAATTGATGGAATTATTGTGTGCTCAACGAACCGCAAACATAATCTGAGCTGGCTGCCGCTGCCATTGCTGCCATTGCCGTTGCTGCCGTGTTTTGTTCCTTCCCATTTTTAATACACATAAAATGATGTTGCTTTGCTGCTACACGTACTATTTTCAACTTGTGCGCACTTTTATCTCGGCCACAATTTGAGGCAAAGTTGTTTGCTGCCACGGTCGTGGCAGGCAGCTTAATGCTCGATATTCTGTTTACGCTGCAGGTGTATAACGGCATCCCCGCCTGGCTTTTGCAGTTATTAATTGTCGGTCATCTGTTTTTCGGCCACTGCCAGAGATGCTGGCCATAGGTCGCCCCGCCCCGCCACCTTCCACGCTGCCGAGTAATAAATCAAAGGCCAGAGACAAAAATTAATTATGCCAACAAAAGCTGGGCCGCAATTTGTTATAGAAGCTAAGGAGCCATCCACCTCCGACCGCATACAATTTGTCGTCTTCTCGGACTTTTGTTGCATGTGGAAATTTTCGAGTTGCAAAATGTAATAAAAGAAATTCCTGGCTGCCAACTTGAACTCCAACTGTAGCCGAATCTCGGCAGTTCCAAACGGCACATTCCACAGGCTGAAGAACGGTGGAAGGCTGGGGGGTCGCATTCCAAGAGACTAACAGCACCTGAGCAGGATTCAGAGCAGAAGCTATAGCTAGGGCTGGGGCTTGGGCTGGATTTGGAGCTGGAGCTGGAGCCGTAGCCTGTATCGCATCCCTGTCTGAGCCAAAGGACTGCGGGGCTAATGGCTGGGAATGGTGCACATAGTTCAGGCAGCTATTTTTCAACAACTTGTTCTCCTTCTGAATGTTGCCAGTGATGTTGTTGCTGCTGCTCTTGCTGCTGTTGCATATTTCCAGTTAACAAATTCCGGCTTCAGCTACGGGGCACCGAACACATGCATGGGCACGTTTTGTGTGTTGCTCGTATGGAATTCGCTCATGAATTTCAATTTCCCCTGCTCGTAGGAGCCTCAGTATATGGCAAGTGGCAGGTGTAACGGTCGGTCGTTTCGGTGTGAGGATTTGCCAAAAAACTTTCAAATGGCAGCAAATTAGTGTCGTATTTTGAGTGCTTTTGAGACTAAATGGAGAGTGCAGCCGCATCCCTTTATCGCTCGAATGTCCGCAGCAGGGCCAGAAACGAGCCCGTCGTCCTTGTTACCTGTCAAATAAATATAAACCGCACAATTAAGTCCACCAATCCATAGGACAGCCAAAGGGCACACCCACCCAGAGGAGCAGCGGCAGATCCACATCGAACATGTAGCCAAACACTTTGGCTGGCCTTTGGGCCCGCATGATCATCATCTGCCAGAGGCGACGCCTGGCCGGGGGCATCTGCGACCAGTCGCAGCCGGAGTAGACGGCCAGGGCCACGCCGGAGCTCTGCTGCTTAAGGTACTCCCCGCCGTAGCAGTAGGAGCTCAGCTGGATGAACACTGTCACCAGGAAGGCAGCGCGGAAGGGCACCTGGGAGCTCCAGCCGCTGCGGGTGAAGCGGAACGCCAGCATGCAGAGCTGCAGGTAGCTGAGCATGTACTGCACGAACACGATCTCCGCGAAGATGGCGCTCAGCTCTCGGGCCAGTTCCAGGGCCAGGCGGTGGCGTCGAATGCACTCGGCCAGGTGGCTGTCACTGTCCACCGCCTGCTGCCGTTCCTTGTCTGCCAGGAGCAGCTTCAGCAGCTGGAACTGCGCCACCACGTTGTGCACCAGCCAGGAGAAGAGCGTATCGGCTACTATGGCCAGCCACACGGCGGCTGCCACGCCCAGCACGCCCCAAGCGTAGATGGGCCAATAGAAGCGGGCCTGCCGCTCGTCCAGCCAAAAGTTGAACTCCATGGGCGTGGTCGGCCGGAAGACGCCCTCGGTTAGGTAGGCAATCAGGCCGTTCAGCATGGGGGCTATCATAGAGGCAACAGTCACCGCGTAAGCGGCATTCCTGAACGCTCTCGATACATACATGTCCAATCGGTTCTCCCGGAGGATCTTCTCCCGCTGCTGGGGGCTGGCACAGGCCTCCCGGTTGAGCCCGTGCAGGCGATGCACCAAGGCGCCGATGCGGCGCCGCTTCACGATGAAGGCCAGGAACTTGAGGGTGCAGAGGGATCCCTGCATGAAGACGGCCAGGTTGTCGGTGAGCCGGGTAAGATCGCTGAGATCCTGCAGGCCATAGACGATCATCGGCCAGTTGTGCGAGACCAGGGACAGGATGAGGAGCCCAGCCCACAGGGGCCGTCTCATGTGAAGGCGCTGTGTGCTGGGGTCGAACCCGACGATTTCCAGGGCACGCCGCTGTATCGAGAAGTAGCTGTCATCCATGTCCGCAGGCAACTGAATCTGAGCCATGACTTGGAGCTCAGTTTCCACAAGGAGCTATATATATATACACACAGGACGGGGATAGGGGATGGTCGATGGGGTATGGAGTGGACGGCTAAGTGGATGTCGTTGCCGCCCATGAAATTGTGGCTGAAATATTTATGCTCTCCGTTAACAGGCTACGTGATACGGTTACCCCAACACAGAAGACAAGGAAGTCGGAGTAGGAGTAAGAGTAGAACTAGGGGTAGGGGCAGCAGGAGTCAGAGATCATGGGGCCACATAGCTGCCATGGGTGTGGCATTGTTTTGATTGGAATTTCCAATTTCACACAATAATAGTTTGTTGATTTGTGGGCCGGGCCGTAAATATATCGTATTATTAAATAAATACCATGCCTCGAGGACGTGGGCCGTCCAACTATTTTCTTATGCACGGCAGATGTTTTTTTTTTAAATTAACATATAGAAAACGCATAACTCGGTACTCTTATCCCCGATCCAGGGACATTTCATTTAAATATTTCTCGACACCCACCAAATTGTATCTGCCAGAGGGGGTATTTAGCAAATAATCATAAATCTATATGCGCTTGTTTATTTATGTGGATAGGAATGATATGGCATCCTGTGTGAACGGGTTAAAAAGCGTTAATATTTATTTTGTGGCACGCTTCCGGTTTCATATTTTTCCAAAATATTTTCACCACTTCTGATGATAAAAATATACTCAATTTCAATCAAATGTTGTGTACTCTTTGCCGGAAAAAGCGGTTTCAAAATGGCTTTTAATTCCCCCACACTTCTTTCCCCCTGTACTCCCTTTATTTGCGGCTAATTCCGTGATGGGCTTATTTTCTCACCCCCCCCTGGAAGGATGGTTGAATTTTTAGCGTGAAATCAACAAGTAAATCGAGTTTTAAAATATCCCTCGCTTTCAGAAATTCCTCGACCCCGACCAAATTGAGGGAAATTGCCATTTTCCAAAGGGATCGTATAGCTCCCTCCACATTTTCTTTTGGTTATTTTCGGGGTTCTTTATTTTTTGGGTCACCCGCTTAATGTCACCTCAAATGCTTTCAATTAATCTCGGGGACCCGGTCTGGCCCGTCATTTGCATGATGGTCCTGGTTGCTGTGTCCCCTGACAGCTTTACTGATTTGTATGATTCGTTGGTGGAGTGGCAGCAGCGGTCGTGGCAGGTCAACCGCTGCAGGCGCTTTGCGGCAGACAAAGTTATGCAACATTATTTAGAGTAAGGCAGCCACCGCAGGGCACTTCAGTTAAAGGGAGAGAGAGAGAAAGAGGGGAAGATAAATGTATTATACAATTTATTAACTTGTTGTATTTGCAAATCCAATTTCATTCAGTTTAAAGCCAGCACTGCAGTTAGAGGTCCTCATGTGTGCAGTGCGGCATCAGCATCGGTATATAAAATTGATATTTTATGCAAAATATTTACCCAAAAGCCACAAAGCCAGGGGCGTGGCCAAGAGGGGGAGGGGCACAAGGCAGAGCAGAGCAGACACCCACAGCAGCTGCTCTTCGATAATTTTGACAGCGGTCGACCAATTCGAGGCGTGCCGCGGCAGCCACATCTCTGCTTTTGGTATGTTAAGCTTCTCACCCACCCACCCACAATCTCTCTTTCGCTCACTCTCTCTTTCTCTCTTTCTCCTTTCCTTGCTTTCCCTTCTCCCATCTTTCCCACCCCCGCTGCTGAGGTTTGTAAGTCGTTTTGGGGCTTTGTTTATTTCATTGCTGATACTGTTGCTGCCTTCTGCCACTGCCACTCCCCTCTCTTGCTGCCACATTCCAAGCGTCTCCCTTCCTTTATCTCTGGTTTCTGGTTTCAGCCGGGGGAACGGGATGCAGGTGCGTGTGGCACTGCTCTCTCTCTCTTTTGTCTGTCACCCTTTTTTTTTTACATTTTTTATGTGCCTGCGGCAAGCCGTAAAAAGCATCTTCCGAATGGAGTGGCATGCCAGGCTTAGCCAGTTTACCGTTTTTCGCTGCTCTGAGCCGTCGCATCTACCGTTTAAGGAACTACCAACATATTTCTCATGATGTTGCCTCATTTGTTGCCGCTCCACGGGCGACCAAGGGGGAGACAGGGCGTAGAACGGAGTTATCAGTTTTCCTTTTTGGGTAGTCGAAACAACGAAGGAAGAAGGGTACTCCACAGTGCGTGTGTGTGTGTGTGGAATATACTCTAAGTACTGCCAATTTGTTGGCCATTTTACATGGCCAAAACAGCCATAGGAGTGCGAAGGGAGAGTGCCATAGAGAGCAGATAGCAGATAGTAAGACATCTACTTGGTGTTCCACATGAATGAAGCTGGCAGCCAGCCTCAGGGAATGCAAACCAATCCGCCCGCCCTCTTTCACCTGCAGACGGAGGAGTGGGATGTGTGGTATAGAAAAAGAGCATCCTTCAATAAAAAATTAATAGGAAAACATTCAATGAGCGTGGCACAAAGTCGCCAAAGGGGCGCCCTGGCAGCAGTTAGCCTCCAATCGCATCGCTTTGTGTGCTCGACTGCAGGCAGCAGGCAGCAGGCAGCAAGCAGCCCCTCTTTCTGATGAACCGTCCATACCCCGGCAATACGGGTATCGGCATGGATCCCCATCGCCTCCAGCCACCTGTCTCTGTGCTCGGAAATCACAGGTAATGTGGTTTTACGAGCACTGAGAGACAGGTATCGGTGTTCCCACTCCCCACATCCACATCCACATCTCATACACCCATTCCCACCGCCACTTCCACCCCCTTTGCTCCACTGATAACTGCAGGCAGCCCCAACTTGGTCGTGTGCCTGTGCCTGGCCGCACACAAAGGCGTATAAAGCATGCTAATAAAAACATATACTATGGCATGTCCATGTCCTGTGCCCCTCTGTGTCTCGCCCTCTCTTCTGCATGTGTGTGTGTGTTATGTAAGCGGATGTGCAACACTTTTTTTTCGTATTCCTGGAAGCCCCGGCAGCCAGCCGTTGATTATACTAAACTTGTTTACTTATGCCGCTCGTGTATACTGTAGACACACACACACATACAGCACTATGGGGTATCTGTGTGTGTGTGTATGTAAAAAGTGCAAACTACAGCATAACCCAGACTCTCGTCTGCCAGTATAAATTTCGACTTATCCACGCGAGAGCGCTAAGCAGCAGCAGAAGCAGCAGCAGCAGCAGCAGCAAGAGGATGGCAAACATGGTCACAGAGAGGGGTAGTGCGGCATTTGGGGGTGCTGGTGGCAGTGTGGATGCGCCATGTGGCACAGTGTGATGAATGGTGCCAGAAAATTTGATGATACACGATTAACATAATGATTTGCATGTGCTTAGCGTGTCCTTGCGCATTAAAGATCTTGTAAATTGTCAGACAAAAAAAAAATTCCGCATTACTAAACTGAAATCTTAGTGAGTGAGACGAAGGGCTAGGCCATGAAGGTAAAGGGTGTGCCCGATATGCCAAGCGGCTCTTAAAGAAGGGCAGCGGATAATCTAGATATCGAAGATTTAATCAGCATGCTTAGCTAGTCTTAAGTACTTTTGTTCCAAACTAATTTACTTATCCTCTATTCTACCACATTAAATATGGGTTAGAAGTAGAAGTAGAAGTATCATCCATAGGAAAATAAGGCCTATTTTTGGGAAGCTATATCTGAATTGCATACAATTAAATGATGATATAACCAAATGATAGCACATGTCAACTCTGTATAGTTTTCTTTATAAAAATCGTTAAATTTAAATTTTAAATTGATTTTCCTGCATGCCAGCCAATGAAAAGGAATATTTTTCTAAAGCCAAAAAGCATGCTCTTCAAAATCTCGACAATTTGTGATGTGATTTAAATACCTGTACAGTGTGTAAGGGACCGAACGATCTCCAGGGGAAAGCTCTAATATTTCGTTTGAAGGTTTTGTGCCCCGTCTCGCCCCGCCCGCTCTGCTCCACCATCGTGTCCCCCTGAAATACTCACGACTTTTTTTGTTAACAATTTCATCTATAGAATTTTGTGCATGAACAGACAGAAGAGAACATGTGCACACAGCACACACTTTGCTGGAGCCGAAATTAATTTCCACCAGAGCAAGTATGAAAAGTCCGAGCACCAATCACTAGAATCTTACATATATGTACATGCACCTGTACTCGTAGATGCATTGATGGTCGATTGCCACCCGATGGACGGGACAGGGGATTGTGCGGCAAGTGTGGCCATAAATAAATAACGAAAAAATCGAGCATATACCAGAGGTATTCAACTGTGGCAGCAACAGAAGTAAAACTTCACAAATGCACACACATTGGGAGGGATAGAGCGAAACGGATAAATGGAGGAACGAAGGAACGAAGGAAAAGTTGCAATTGAATGAGCGAAAAGTTCCCAGACGAAATCCAGCAGAATTGATTGCTTATTTGCTTAAAGCTTTTCCCCAGCAGCGAGACAAATCTCAGGGGGTTGGATATACATATCCTCTAGCGTATAAGTATGCACAAATATGTGGTAATTGACTGCCTGCCACACAACAGAGAGAGAGAGAGAGAGAGAGAGAGAGAGAGAGAGAGAGAAAGAGCCGCACAAAGGAGAAGACTCTGCTTGAACCCGATGCTCTCCGGGCGAACAATGAGCTAATTTTAAGCTAATATTTATGCAGCAATTAAAACGGTTCAGCTGAGTTGAGTTTGAGCTTGAATCAGAACCAGGACGAGGACGAGAACGAGAACGAGACCGATGACGACATCCTGCCACGCCCCACTCCCCTCTTTTTGCCGCATAGAAACCAACCACAACAATTGGCTGAACAAACGAGTTCGTGACGGAGGGAGAGATCTCGCTGAATTATAAATGGATGATGAATGAATGCAAACTGCACTCTGGCAAAGTACGTGCCCCTGCCTCCGCCTCTGCCTCTGCCCCTTCTGTAAGCCGCACCAAATCTATTCCACATTATGAATAATATTTGACAAATTTCCAGAGTTCTAGTGGAAGAACTTTGGCCCACTCAA